CAGCAGCAGCAGCAGCAGCAGCAGCAGCAGCAGCAGCAGCAGCAGCAACAGCAGCAGCAGCAGGTTAAAGCTTCTCGGGGTTTGGGGCTTAGGGTTTTAGGGTTTAGGGTTTATAGTTTGGGCGTTATTAGGGTTTAGGGTTTAGGGTTTAGGGTTTATCTGCAACTTAAGGCCCTCAAGGTTTTCTATTTGTGCTTATTGGGGTCGGGTAGGGGTGTTATTCGGGTTTATTAGGGTTTATTAGGGTTTATTAGGGTTTATTAGGGTTTATGATATATTAGGGTTTAGGGTTTAGGGTTTAGGGTTTAGGGTTTTTGGGTGTACCTGGAGGTTAGGGAGTCGGTTGTGCAGCAGCGAGAGGAGGGCCTTGAGCTGTATGTGTGTGTTGCTTTCGCTTGTTAGTTTGCTGCTGCTGCTGTTGCTGTTGCTGCTGCTGCTGCTGTCGCTGTTGCTGCTGCTGCTGCTGTCGCTGTTGCTGCTGCTGCTGCTGCTGCTGCTGCTGCTGCTGCTGCTGCTGCTGCTGCTGTCGTTGTTGTTCTTGCTGCTGTTGCTGCTGCTGTTGTTGTCGTTGCTGTTGCTGCTGCTGCTGTTGTTGATGCTGCTGCTACTGCAGTCTGCTGTAGCAGTTAAATTATTATTAAATAAATTAAAAGAAAGAAGCTGAGGTAGAGACGGCATCTGCTGCTCCTCAATGCTGCTTATCTGGTTGCAACCCAAAGACAAGCTGAACGCAGCAGCAGCAGCAGCAGCAGCAGCAGCAGCAACAGCAAATGCAATACTTTCTGGGGCGCATGCATAAATTGCAGGAACAGCAACAGTATTCAACGCAGCAGCAGCAATCCCCTCGCAATCAGAGCAGCAGCAGCAGCAGAAGCAGCAGCAGCAGCAGAAGCAGCAACAAAGGAGCCAGTAGCAGCAGCAGCAGCAGCAGCAACAGCCGCAGCACCAACAGCAGCAACAGCAACAACAGCATTAGCAGCAGCAGCAGCAGCAGCAGCAGCAGCAGCAGCAGCAGATTACTTTTTGAGTGTATTGTGGTTGTTTAGCAGCAGTTTTAACCCGTTGATATTTTGCAGGCGATTATACTTCAAATCAAACACTTCTAAGTGCGGCAGCAGCAGCGTGAAGCAGCCATCTGCTGCTGCTGCACTCTCCCTGCTGCTGCTGCTGCTGCTGCTGCTGCTGTTGCTGCTGCAGCAGCAGCAGAGAGAGTCTAGCTTGTTGTAGTTAAGACGCAGCTCTCTTAAATTTTTGAGGATAGGGCCTGAATGAAGTGCGGGCAAAGAAGAAATCTCGTTTGCTGCTAAAGAGATACTCCACAACTTATCTGCTGCTGCTGCTGCTGCTGCTGCTGCTGCTGCTGGTGATGCTGTTGGTGATGTTGATGCTGCTGCTGCAGGAAGCAACAGCCCCAGAGACTGTAGCGCTGCTGCAGCAACCCCCCAATCAAACTCTTTTAAAAAGTTTCTCGACAGATCCAAGTCCCATGCTGCTGCTGCTGCTGCTGCTGTTGCTGTTGCTGTTGCTGTTGCTGCTGCTGTCGGCTCTAAAGCAGCCTGCTGGAGTTGCTGGCGTCGTTGCTGCTGCTCTTGCTGCTGCAGCTGATGCAGCTGATGCAGCAGCTCCTGCAGCTTCTGCTGAACGCTGCAAGGAGATTCACCCTCTCTTTGCTGCTGCTGCTGCTGCTGCTGTTCCTGCTGCTGCTGCTGCTGCTGCTGCTGGATATATACAGTTGCTGCGTTCAGGTCCCTGGAGGCTGTGAAGTGCTGCTGCCGCCCCACAACCCGCAGCCGCTTCAATCGATTATCTACGAAGACACTCAGCACGTGTGTTGCTGCTGCTGCTGCTGCTGTTGCTGCTGCATGTGCTGCTGTATCTGCTGCTGCTGTTGCCGTTGCGGCGGTTGCTTCTGCTGCTGTTGATGCTGCTGCTGCTGCATTTGCTACTGTATCTTCTGCTGCTGCGGTTGCTGTATCTTCTGCTGAGTTTGTTGCTGCTCTTGATGTTGTATTTGCTGCTTCTGCTGCTGCTGCATCTGCTGCTTCTGCTGCTGTTTTTGCGTCTGCTGCTGCAGCAGCAACAGCAGCAAACGCCTGTTCCATACTGCTAGATCTTCTTAACACCTACAGAAGATGCAAGGTCTAGGGTTTACTAGAATTCAGGGTTTAGGGTTTAGGGTTTAGGGTTTTAGGGTTTAGGGTTTATTAGGTCTCAGGGTTTAGGGCCTAGGGCCTAGGGCCTAGGGTTTAGGGTTTAGGGTTTAGGGTGTAAATATAGATGTGGGGTATAATACTGAGATAAATAAATATTTAATTCTTAAAAATTAAATAAAAAATTAATTAAAACAAACAAACAAACAAAATTTTTTGTTCGTCTGCCGATCGTTTGGCTGCAGCAGCCTCCAGCTGCAGGCGACCGCAAAATAAATAAATAAATAAATAAATAAATAAATAAATAGATAAATAAATAAATAAATAAATAAATAAATTATTTTGATTTGTTTGAGCGATCTGT